CAAATTTTACTGAGGGAGTTGAAACCTTAGTTTCTTTATAATTTCTTAGTTTATCAATAGACATTTTTTTCCTAATCATTATTAAAGGGATATAGTGAAATAACAGTTCGCTTTTAGCAGACAATTTGGTTCGAATTTGTCAAAATAAGCTAAGAAACATCGCTGATGAATTATTCACTTGCAGGTGAAAAATTCGACCTCATTGAATTCGTATTCATGTGACGTTCAATTTAACCCTTTAGCTGGAGATGGGTTACGCATGTATTCACCTATTAAAAGGAAAAGAATGTCAACATTGAAAGTGAAACAAGGATGAATCATTTAGTTGACTGGTTCGATCCACAAAGAACATTCTTATACAGGTAAAACGAGGATAAACATACATTTTAGCCTACAATATGAAATCAAACAGACCTATAATAATCCAATTGCACGTGGTCGCTATCTGTTTATATTTATATTTATGTTTATATCGGTTTATACGACCGTCGGCAGTCTTTGGATGTCATCTCGATGGTTAGTTAGATGACGTCTAGACAAAAGTACACATAAAATGCTGATACATATTATTGAGTCCATGCATTGTTATTTGTTTACGTTAGACTTTTTATAATTTGGATACACGTTTTAGAATGTTATAAATCAAATACGAGAATTTGAGTCAAATCGATGAACATGAAATTGACAGCCAAAGCCCTTTTAAGGGAACTATTACTTAATATTCTAATCGGAGTTAATAATTACTGCTTTGTAAATGTATTGGCATATTTCAATGGATTTCCGTTTAAAATAATATTTTGTTGTTCTTCAATTTAATGTACTAGAACTTAGTTCAAACAAATGTTTTATCGTACGTGTGAACGGTTTAAAAACTGAAAATCCGACGATTTTCCGAATATTGTTTATAATACTCTTTGTTTTTTTTCATATATTGAAATGTGATCTGCTTTTTGTATTTGAATATCAATTTTGTTTTAATTTAATATCAATGTTTGGAAACATTACTATAGAAAAATAGCTTACTACCTTCTTCGTTGATTATTTGATAAGGAAAATGTATATAACACTGGGATGACCCCTAACTTGAACAAGGAAGAAGCAGAGACAAAATGTGCCCGCCGCATTCTGTATGTGCCGGTATTTCAATGGTTGTCGTATGTTGCCGAGTCCATATTTGTTTTTGTTTAATGATTTTTGAATAAATCTGCGACGCTTTTCACAAAAGAATCTTACGAGTAAAAACACTCGTTAGTCATGAACATTTCAGTACAACTCAATTTTAGTTTTAAGTTTTTGTGAAAAGAGTTCAAGGCCGTTAGTTTTTTTTGCTTGGATTGTTTTACATATGCCATTTTCGTGGTTTTTATAACTTATACGGTGACCGATAGTTGCTTACTTCTACGTCAGTTTGTATCTGATGGAAAGTTTCTACTCATTGGCAATCAGAAAACATCTTCTTATTTTTATAAAAACATCATGCCTCTACTAGAATAGCTGAATATATATCCTAACAAAAATCACTGGGTATATTAGATCTATTAATAACGGGAGTTAATCCATCCTTCAGAAAATTATTTAAGAGTATGAGAGAGAGAGCGAGCTGATTTGTTTGGAATAGTTTGATATTTCTGCGGTGATCTAGGAGGTGACTTAGCATTCAGATTTAAGCAGTGTTTTTATATCGATCGTACGGGAAGATTGCAAAGGTATAGATACAGTTGTTAGTTGGATACTGCCACTCAAGAAAAAACAATATATGTCTTAAAGCGACTGGACTAGTAATACCACTGTAGCTCACTGTAGACCAACAGATGAATCGACCAAGTGGTATTAATAACATTAACGATACCACTTTTTAAACTGCAAAAGATGCACAAGTATGAAATGCAAAATTTTAACAATAAAATGTCCCTTCAAAAATCGATAGTTTCAGAGACAATTCAAGATTCATGAAATGATCAATTGAAAAGAGATAAGTACAAAGTCGGTAAATTGCTCTCGTTGAAGACACAAGGTCAATGCCTGACCTATATAAACTCGATAAAAAACACCTAGTGGGTTTATTTAAAATCAATCAAATAATGAGACTGTGTATGTCTCCCACGCAATCGATGTAAGAAACAAATGAAAACAAATGAAACGAAGACAGATAATTTGTCAATTTGATTCTTCAATTACCTAATTAAGTTTTCGAATATATCATTTTTCAAATCTGTGCTAGCCATCAGATCTAGTTAAAATGACCTTTTAATTTTAGACACATGATTTTTTTATTGTTGTCGTTGGCTTCGAACTTACTTGAACTGCGAGTACTCTCAGATCTGTACTTTGTGTCTTTTGTGTTTTTGTTAGGGTTTTATGTGCTTTGTGTCGATCTGATGAGTGAAGCCCTTTTCAACTGATTTTTATAGTTTATTCTTATGTCGTAATGTGACACCATTGTAGCAGGTAATGGGGAAGGTTTGGCGCCAGCAAACATGTTTTAACCCCTCCACATTCTGTGTGTGCCTGTCCCAAGTTAGGAGCATGGAGTCTGTTTTACAAATAAACTTACGACTAAGTTTGATCGTAAGTATGCTGAATTGTTTATAACTTACGATGAATCTTAGTCGTAAGTTCTTTTGTGAAACCGACTCCTGTAATTTAGTGGTTGTCGTTTGTTGCTGTATCATATTTGTTTTTCGTTCATTGTTTTGTACTTAAATCAGGCCGTTAGTTTTCTCGTTTGGATTGTTTTACATTTGTCATTTCGGGGCATTTATAGCTTACTATGCGGTATTGGATTTGCTCATTGTTGAAGGCCGTACGGTGACCCATAGTTGTTAACTTCTTTGTCATATGGTCACTGGTGGGAAGTTGTCTCATTGGCAATCTTTTTATTTCTATATTTTTCACATAATTCAATTTTATATCCTTACAAATATCTTTAAAACAAATACATGGTAACATTTTTATGTGTGTGCGTGTGTTCAACCAGGGTGTCATTTCATTATTTCAATTTAAAGCAAGAATTGAAAATTTCTGTTCAGCGATGTTATAAATTACAGTTTTGTACTCGCTTGGCAAGCCTCGCTGTTTTTCCTGTTTCTAAGATAATAAAAATAAATCCGACTATGTACGTATATTGAATAGAACCTTATCAAATTTGCCATTTAAGTCAATACTTCTGTTAAGATACAAATGTACATCTTTTGTATTTTGTTTCTTCTTACTTTATTTCGCCACTCAGTCTGGATATTTTGTATTTACTTTTTTGTACGGTAAGGGGAAAATAATAAAATGATTTGAAAACGTTAAAAAAAAGCGGGGAAACATTCAACTACATCGTTATTTTATTTATTTTACTAATTAGGAAATGTTTCAAACCCTAATTTGGATCTTTGACATAGCTTGACTTTTAAAAGAGTTTGTAACTTTCGGTTTCTCATTTAATTAACTCCCACTACAGTGAGCGGAATATAGTACGTATAGAACCTGTGTACTTTTTGGAAAGTGGTGTGGTTGGTGAAAGTAAATACATTGTACTTAATATGCACTTTATCGGGAAAGTGAATATGAAATTATGCTTTACTATACTGTATGTACTATCAACTACATTCTTTGTCAGATTTATTTGTTTGACTGTTTAAGTCATGTGTGTGTGTATGTCTGCGATGTATGTTTACATAGTTTTGACTGTTGAAGTCATTTGACTGTGTGTATGTCTGCGATGTATGTTTACATATATTTGACTGCTGGATTCCGATTATTTGGAAAGTGAATATGAAATAACGTTTTACAATATTGTATGTACTATCAACTACAAAAATCATTTTTTTTTTTGGTTGGCGTCTTTGTTAGATATATATTTTTGTTAAAGGGGTTGCACTTGTGAATCGAAATTGGTTAATAAAAGCTCAAAAATCGTACTTTCTATGCAAATCCGCTGACATGATAAAAAAAACACCCAAATCAAGATTCAATGAAAAAAAAATATCCAATTTTGATATAAACAAGGGAAATGTAGGATCAATACGTAAATGAGAGAGCGACCCAATGAAACAAAAAACCAAAAGATATTTAAAGGTCAACATACGTTTTTCAAATAACAGACAATTGTCTATAACACATTGTCGTGCTCCAAAGCGTACATATTCTAGAAAAGTTAGGATAATTATATTTAGCAGAGATTGTCAAAGATCTGTAATCAAACCGAATTGCCCAAGTGACGAAAATACATTTAGATATAACTAGAGAAAACAATTGACGAGATTCCGTACTAGGAAATAAACCTAGAATTTTGTGTTTTGTTTAAAATTGAAATTTTCAAACCGTAAGTTCCTTAAAGCTCGATAACCATGAACGCTAAGACAGAGCTGAACTGAAAATGCATGTTGGGATATTGTAAGCCATGCCCGCATTAAATAGGACTATAAGATAAATCAAAGTTACAATTTAAAGAGACCTAAATTGGACAGAAAAGACGAGGCTTGTAGTTGGTACCCCTGTCATCTTTTATCCACGAATTGTTTGTGCCAATAAACATTTGAACGGTGAGCTAAAATAGCATATTTTGTTGTAAAAACACAGTTTTCAGACAACGAGATGATGACACACTCCTAAAAAAAGTGGCCTATAAAACGACCGTCAACATTTGTTAGGTAGTATATAAAGCTGTGTAATCTTTACAAAAAAAATTATGTTAAGTATACAATGTAAAACATACAGTGTGTAACTCATGTTGTCCCGTTTTGGGACAACTATAAGCTTTTACCTGTCAAGACTAACTGGGTGATATGTATGCCTATGAATTATAGATTTACTTTATATTTCCTTAAATGGTTTCCATTGTGACCTTTTTTTTCATTCTAATATCTGGGTAAATAAAGTACTAGACCAATGTCCTCCATATGAAAATAGAGGTTATAAGGTAACTGTATATCAGACAAAATGTCATGAAATACTAATTAAAAGAATGATAATAACTAACGTATCAACGTACAGCGATTTAATTGCTGGTCTTTATCCTGAGAGTTGCAGAATAGTCTTCGAATGTATAACAAATAATGACAAAGTTCGCTTATACAATCTCCTTAGTTGACATTTAATAGGCAAAAAGTAAGAAATAAAAATTGACACTTAGTTTGTTGAGATTTTAAAAAAATCTGTGTCATATTAAAAATAATCTAAACCAGTGTGTAAAGGTCACCCTCGGGAGCAGGAAAAACGATCTCATAAGATTCATGACCTTTGACATGATGTTCAAAATGCATAGGTTTAACACTAGTGCCACATGAAGATAGTAACATGCCAAGATATATTTTCGTTTAATAGAGGTGACCTTTATAGCAGGTCTGGCTGTAATGAAATGTCATTTTAACAACACTTGAACATCTTTCGTACTTCAGATCTGAATTTTTCATCAAGAAATCCGTATATTATAGGGTTAGCCATATTGTTTATGAAATATGTCCGCAAAAGGAAGTTGTATATTAGAATTTTATTGTTAGTCATGTTCTCCCAAAATGATTCATCGAGACCATTCAAAATTGATATTACTAAATATGGCAAAAAACTGATAACGAAGACTACAGTAATAAGCGATAGCATTCCGGTTATGCGCAAAGAACGTCTTTGCTTCTTTGAAAACTTTGTCATTCGTATTCCTTCGCGGACAAATTTTGATTTCCGCTCAAGTGTTGAAGTGAACGATTCTGAACTACTTTCTTCCGAAATTGATTTTCCTGAAAAAAAGCTTGCCCGAAAACTCCTTCTTGTACTTGACCGTTTGCTTTCAGGCCATTTCAGTCTTAAACTTGATCGTCTTATATCCATCCGCGTCTCAGTTTTCTTGCCTAAATCTTTCCTAAGCTTGGGAGAATTTATTAAAATATTCGAATATTCATCAAAGGTATTTTTATTGTTTACCGGAAGCTGAGATGGCTGTTCTTTTTTATTAGAGAATGATGTTTCAATTACTTTTTCCATTTGAGATTGCTTTGAGTGTTCCGATGCTTGTCTTCCATTTTTACATTTAGTTTTGTTTCCCTGAAAAGTCCCTTTTCGCCATACTTTTATACCAATGCGAGTGTACAACACGGTCAGTGTACATGTTGAACCAACAAATAAAATAATAGTCACTATATCATATATTAACGGGAATATGCTATCGCTGTAATCATTGGATATGTAACATTCATAACCGGTTATATTAGATACACCAGTATCGAATGACGTAACGCCATAAAGGAATAATACCGGCGTAGATAGTACGAACGCAACTATAATGCATCCAGTGCATATTGCTTTTGTTCCAATGTCTGAAATTTGCTTTTCAAAAGGAAGACATATCTTTCTGTACCGTTCGATAGATATTAGAACTAATATAAACGTAGATGCATGTATTGTTGACGACAGAAGAAAGTAAAGAACTTTACACGGCACGTCCCAAACAAACAAAAATGGAAAGTTCATATCGATCACATGGAAAGGCATCCCAAACAAGCACGTGATTAAATCTAATATGGCGAGACATAGTATAAAAGCTCGAGAACTCGATCGCCGAAATCTAAATTTATAGATATATAGAACTATTAAATTTCCGACAATTCCTACTGACATAAGGATGAAAACATAAACGATAACAGGAAGAAGTAACGCAGCCTCGTCATCGTTTAATTTCTGTAAGATTGATGCCTTGGTTTCACTGATATTTCTTGTCACATTGTTGATGTATGTTAGGTTAGACATTTCTGTTCATTAATACTATCACATTGATTATATCTGTGTATTCTAGAATCGAATGCTTTATCTTACTTGACTAAGCCAGCCTCTCCTCGTGAAAATATTTTCCATTTTCGCAGAAACTGTTACTAGAGTTCTTTCATTTAAAAGTCTGGGAGTGTTCAACATTGAAATTTTTTCCTATCATGCAGAGTTTGATCGCAGCTGTTCCGTGCTTTTTAGAGTCCACTTACAATTGTCTATTTCCCAACAATTAAACCACTCCAGTATATAAATAATCCATACTTATATCTATCTAGATTTATCGCCTATCCTCAAGAAATAGGTAAATTATAACCCACCTAATATATTCGAGTATAAAGTGGTTAATGTATATAAAGTATAAATAAAAACTGTAAATTATGTAAAACAAATGTCTAAAATGTGACGTTCGTTTGGCTACTTAAACTTAATTCAGGATATTACTTTTTGACATCACGTCATATTCAGATTATCAAAAAATAACTTCAAAAGTCGTTAAACCGGATAAATATTATAAAATATCTTGTTCTGTCATTTTAAGATCCGTCTACATCGTATGAAACGTTTACTAGAAAATAAGTTATTCATATTTCTCAATATTTCGACATAACACCTGCTATAAAGACGAATTATCTATTATTTTGTATACATACATCTTGACATATTCGGTTTTTTTTTGTATTATTAATTCACAAAAATATATAATACTTAAATTTGCTTTAAAAGAGATAATCAAATAGCAATACTGCATATTGTTTTTTACCTCAAGACTAACGTTCTACATTCCTTTGACGGCTACAATGTTATTTGAGCGTAAAAGCATTTATATAGATTTTGCGCTACTATCATAAACTTAGAAAGGAAGGCTGTCCTCAAGTAAATATTCAGATATAAGACGTTCTACCGCATAGTGATAATTAGTTTACTAAACTCAAAGGGTGTCTTCCGTCTTTAAACTGTGACAGACTTGGTCCTTGATAGTTGCATTTTACATCTCTTTTGTATTCCTTATTCCTCGAGATGGCATTACTTTTTGAAGCAAGCATTTGACATAGATATCTATATATACACTATTTTGTGTTCACTGATTGTCATTCAGCAAACCTAGAGACCAGCAAAAATTTTGAAAACGAGTCTATACATTAAACTTTGTTCAAACAAGCGAATATAGGACTTCATTAGATATAAATCAAAAATTGAGAGAGCATGTTTCCTCTCCTTCCTTAAGTCACCTTTTCCCCGTCTAGTCTTTTTTTTAAATCTTCTCTCTCTTGTTCTTAAAAACTTGGTCTTTTATTCTATGCGAACGTCTAAATTTGGACATGGATAAGGCTTAAAATAATTATGCCAAAATACTCTAGATCACCCCCAGTTTTTGGTGGGGTTCGTGTTGCTCAGTCTTTAGTTTTCTATGTTGTGTTTTGTGTACTGTTGTTTGTCTGTTGGTCTTTTTCTTTTTTAGACATTTCGTTGTCAGTTTATTTTTGATTTGAGTTTGAATGTCGCTTTAATATCTTTCGCCTCTCTTATATGTAATTATAACTGCAGCAACACTAACAGGTCCCTTCATTACGTCACATAAAAGTGTTACTCACTGTCTCCTTCTTGTGTCTTGTGAACCGGAAAGCCAATGCACAAGATTGAACCTCTATATCATTTTCACGCTCCATTCAGTTAGAAAATATGACAATTATAGTTATTACTATTGTTTGTGTCTTTTGGGGGAGAGGGGGGGGAGAGGGGGGGGGGTAATCTTTACATCTTGTATTTAAGGAATTTTCGTTAGTTCACACAAAATGCTCTAGAATTCACAATTGAAATTATGTATACATGTTTACTGCTTTATTTTTTAACGCAGATGAGATGATGTGAATTTATTTCTTGTTCCATCAATTTCATAATTCAGAATGTATAATAATCATGTCAGAATTAATGGTGAGAAGACTGTGAAATCATTAAGTTTCATTTTGATTCTTTCATAACATTATATTTAGTTCCGTTTTGTGTTTGTTGATTTTTAGTTACATTTGTGTTTATTCGTTTCATTATTTCAATTATGTTGAATTTACTTCATTTTTGTTTTATTTATCAAATCTAAATTTAAATTTAGTTTTGTATAACATTGGCCGCTAGACAATCCAAAGAACTTACTTCGTTACTAAGGTGGCGTTGTGATTGTCATTGTGTCAATTGTTATATTAGGAACATTGTCTAAAAGACCAAAGGGAATATTTTGTTGAACATTTCATAAGAACTTATTTCGTTACAGTCCCAGATATCTAAACTGAAAAATCTATATCGCTATATCTGAAACACCCTATGTTCATAAAAGTCTATTTTGTTTCGAATAGTGTTTTAACGTGGCTATACCAAATATTTAACCTTGAGACGTACAGGAAATTGAAAATCGCCCAACTTTTTCCAATTTTAATCATACTATTACTGATTAATCTACTTTTATTGAAAAAAAGAACAAAACATCTTCATTTATTAGATTTATTTGCGTTGGAGTCTCCAACAGCAATTTCGTAATTTTGAAATTACAATTTTCTTGATAAGTATGAACTTTCGTTATTTTATCCAATGTTTAATTTTGTAGGACAATAATTACATTAACCTACTGTCCATTTATCTAACATAAATTGAACGAAATAAAGAAACCGTAGTCTAATTTGAAATCGCGTCAAAGCTTGTGGTGTAATGCAATAATCTTTCTTAAACAAATATTAACAAAAATCTAATGCTTATAACGTGTTCATTTTTATTCCATATGGATATAGTTTTAAGTGTTTGTTATTGAATTTAAATCTTTGTTCTTAAAACTGAATGTCCTTGGGACTAATAACATTTATATTTTCCTATTCATAAATTCTATAGGTTCTACTCTTAAAAATAGTGTTGGTGATTTTTAATAAGTCATGTCATATAAATAAGATGATGAGTCGCACATGCATGACCCTTGGCTTTTTGCTTGATGTATGAATAAAAAAAGATGTAGGGTAAAAGTATCTAAATTTACAGTAGGTGTTCAATTTATACATATGCTGATTACTTATTGATTATACATGTATAACAAGGATTGGACTTTGATAAATATTTTACGAGCTATCTACTTTGAAATCGACAATTCCATGTACCAATTTCGTCGATATGACGCATTTTAATTGATTTCGCATGTAATGATACTGCTTTCATCTCACTGAAGTTGTTTGCATAAAGTTTCACTTTCAGATCCAAATGTTAATAACATATGTTTTTAAATCGAAAATCTGTAAATATAAGAATTGAATGCTGTGCTTCAAACAAAAAGTGATGGTCACTAGCTTTCATTTCGTATATTTTTTAAAAACCAACAGCATTCAATTATATAATGAAACAGTAATCAAAATACACAAATAGTTATAAAACAAAACAAATCAACACACAGTCTTCAAAAAATAGACAGTTGTCTATTATATTCAAGTTCTAAATCGTCCTATATCTATAAAAGTCGGGAACAAGTTAGACGGAAACTATTAATAAGAAAATATCCAAATGACAAACAAAAAAAATAAGATTTAACCGCAGTCAACCACTGGCGAGGTTTCTGACTTGTGACAAGCACATGAACATGTTGCGGGGTTTAACTAGTTTTTTTTAAATCTCAACCAACTTTTGATTCTAGATCAGCAGAATAACAAAAAGGTACATAGAATAAAAATAGAAAGCATATAACTCTTTAATAACGACATAGATCACAAGTTCATATGATATATTTATTTTCATATTGAAGATAAAGTACACAATCAGGTGATTGATATTTCCATAGGGATTGGGTGTTTATCCCTTTACTGTGAAGAAAGCAGTTCATGTATGGCAAACATTAAAAACACTCATTATCTCTTAAAAGCTATACTTTGAGAGATGCACAAGACCTTGAAGTGTTAATTCCGCAACTGTATGAATAATCTACTTGGACTTTCTATGTATTGTGGTTGATATCAGAGTGTCTGTCACATTAATTCGATACGCAACAGGTTATGTATTTTATGAGGACTTTCAGCTTGATTTAGGTAACTTTCATTCTTCTTTCAAACTAGATTATATAAGATTTGTACTTGTTCCTGTGCAGATATAATTGTCTGTTAAGTACTGGTGTAAAAAGAGTAAATCTCTTTTCCCAACTGCTTTCAGTCACCTCTATGGTCTCATGGCACCGTGCTTGCCTCGAGTGAAGGAGTTTGTTGTTCAATCCCCGACCGGACGAACCAAAGATTTGAAAATCTATATTTACTGCGGACATTAAATTTAGTAGTTAGAGCAAAGACTTATCTCAGGACTTCAAAACTTTGAAAATAACATCTGCACAAAATATGTTATTAAAAAAATATTTTGTCGGTTTTAAATGAAAATGAAATACAAGTAGTTGATTTGTCACATATGTTGGTTATTTTTGCTCTATCTGCATTAAGTATTTTGCGATAGACTTCGTTAAACGAAAATGGTTCTCCCACAAAGGCGACAGTTGGTGAAACGCCGGCACTTATAAGTACAATTTCTTGATTTTTCTTCAATGATGTACTCATGTGAGGTTTATGAATTTTTGTCAGATGTTCGGCTTCTTGAAATATTTTGCCCCATATCACCACCTTTTCTTTTCATAGAAGATCTCAAAAGCTCATAAAAAGGTCATTACCAAAATAAGCTGATTCTAGATTTTTTTCTTACGATTTGAGACCCTATTAATGCCAATGCTAAATATAAGGTAAATGTCCGAGTCAGCCTTTTCACGCCATTAAAAAAAAATCATATATCTCAAAAAGGGGTTCCAAAACCTATCAATATTTTTAACTTATTTTGTTCCTTAATTCAGTGGGATATCCAGTGATCGAAAACAGAAAATTCACTCTTCTTATGATAGAGTCGAGAAAGTCAATAATAAAACAATGCCGGTGACGATACTGATCAAAAGTTATTTCCAAATGATAATTGTTCATTTTGGATAAATTAATTGTTAAACTGTGTTATTAGAAATATACATGCAAATACATGATGTTTTATGTTCAGTATTTATCGAGATAATTGCATTAGAAGCTTGTGACACTGAGATTTAAGAACTGCCAATCTTTGCTGCATATTGATAAAAAAAAAATAGGAAAAAATCATGAACAAACATACAAAATCTAAAGATCTTTCGGGTCACCAATTTTCGGAGTGTTCCAAAAAGTTCTCAGCATGTTACAAGTTCCCAAAGTATACTTATTTTTTCACACTTAAGTGA